TAAAGAAAAAAATACCTTATTACCATTCCATAAGTAATCACAAAGTATTGGCCGTTTATTATATATTCACTCAGCGGTTAGCATATAACATAGGCTTTTGTATTCTTTACTAATTTACTAATCAATTGCGTTCCTCCAAATCATATTAAATATTTTAAAAGGTTAATATTAACCTAGATAATAATCCTCATAACAGCAATCATTTAGTATAATACCAAAATACCTTTTTAGACGTATCTCTCTATAAGTTCAAAATATTTAAAAAAAATTGTAATGCCGTTATGTATTAATTCGTCAAATCATAACTTACTAACCAATTGCGTCCCTAGAAATTTTATTATATATAAATTAAGCATTACAGGTACTAAATAAATTATTGTAGCAATTGCAATCGGTTGGTTAGTTACTCAAAAAAATATCCAATCTTACTTATGTTTTAATACCAAAACAGCATCACTCCTCAACCTCAGACCAACAAACTTTAACCAAATTTTTTATAAGTATTATTTAATTTCTAACACCCTCTTGTTACTAATTAATTAATGAAAAAACATACATTATAAAGAAAAAAATACCTAAATAACCATTCCATAAGTAATCACAAAGTATTGGCCGTTTATTATATATTCACTCAGCGGTTAGCATATAACATAGGCTTTTGTATTCTTTACTAATTTACTAATCAATTGCGTTCCTCTAAATCATATTAAATATTTCAAAAGCTTAATATTAACCTAACTAATAATCCCCATAATAGCAATCATTTAGTAAAATACCAAAATACCTTTTTAAACCTATCTCTCGAAAAGTTCAAAATATTTAAAAAATTTGTAATGTCGTTATGTAATAATTCTTCAAATCATAACTTACTAACCAATTGCGTCCCTAGAAATTTTATTATATATAAATTAAGCATTACAGGTACTAAATAAATTATTGTAGCAATTGCAATCGGTTAGTTAGTTACTAAAAAAAATTTCCAATCTTACTTATGTTTTAATACCAAAACAGCATCACTCCTCAACCTCAGACCAATAAACTTTAACCATATGTTTTATAAGTATTATTTAACTTGTAACACCCTCTTGTTACTAATTAATTAATGAAAAAACATACATTATAAAGAAAAAAATACCTTATTACCATTCCATAAGTAATCACAAAGTATTGGCCGTTTATTATATATTCACTCAGCGGTTAGCATATAACATAGGCTTTTGTATTCTTTACTAATTTACTAATCAATTGCGTTCCTCCAAATCATATTAAATATTTTAAAAGGTTAATATTAACCTAGATAATAATCCTCATAACAGCAATCATTTAGTATAATACCAAAATACCTTTTTAGACGTATCTCTCTATAAGTTCAAAATATTTAAAAAAATTGTAATGCCGTTATGTATTAATTCGTCAAATCATAACTTACTAACCAATTGGGTCCCTAGAAATTTTATTATATATAAATTAAGCATTACAGGTACTAAATAAATTATTGTAGCAATTGCAATCGGTTGGTTAGTTACTCAAAAAAATATCCAATCTTACTTATGTTTTAATACCAAAACAGCATCACTCCTCAACCTCAGACCAACAAACTTTAACCAAATTTTTTATAAGTATTATTTAATTTCTAACACCCTCTTGTTACTAATTAATTAATGAAAAAACATACATTATAAAGAAAAAATACCTTATTACCATTCCATAAGTAATCACAAAGTATTGGCCGTTTATTATATATTCACTCAGCGGTTAGCATATAACATAGGCTTTTGTATTCTTTACTAATTTACTAATCAATTGCGTTCCTCTAAATCATATTAAATATTTTAAAAGGTTAATATTAACCTAGATAATAATCCTCATAACAGCAATCATTTAGTATAATACCAAAATACCTTTTTAGACGTATCTCTCTATAAGTTCAAAATATTTAAAAAAATTGTAATGCCGTTATGTATTAATTCGTCAAATCATAACTTACTAACCAATTGCGTCCCTAGAAATTTTATTATATATAAATTAAGCATTACAGGTACTAAATAAATTATTGTAGCAATTGCAATCGGTTGGTTAGTTACTCAAAAAAATATCCAATCTTACTTATGTTTTAATACCAAAACAGCATCACTCCTCAACCTCAGACCAACAAACTTCAACCAAATTTTTTATAAGTATTATTTAATTTCTAACACCCTCTTGTTACTAATTAATTAATGAAAAAACATACATTATAAAGAAAAAAATACCTTATTACCATTCCATAAGTAATCACAAAGTATTGGCCGTTTATTATATATTCACTCAGCGGTTAGCATATAACATAGGCTTTCAATTCATTTGATGTTACTATCCAATTAATCGTTTAAAATATGTTTTATCAAACCGACCATAACAAAAAATAAATTAACCGCACCAAAAATAGTACTGTTGTATTCCTATATCGTCCCTTATAATATATATTTATAGGCATATGGATACTCACAGATTATATTGTTATTTAATACTAAATTGTTGAAGTCATTGTTATTTAGTTTGCCCCATATTAAAATGTATAATCCAGTCATCCTATTGTTATAACTAACTTTTTAAATTATTTTGTAACATGTTACAACCTTATTTTATTATAACCCAATTATGTAACATAAATAAAAATACTATCAATATTACATCATATCTCTATATGTAATCATGAACTATTTTGCTTTAATATATTTTAACTTATTGTTTAGCATATATAAATAGTTTTTAACCAAAATTTTAACCATCTAATGAAATGCGTTCCTAGGAATTTAACCATAAGTTATATAATAATTATAGGTACTAAATTTATAATTCTAACAATGGCATCAAGTTAGTAACTTGCGTAATTCACTATTCAAACATCCCAAAATAATAGCTTCAGTTCGTGTATTTAATTTCTACAATTCCATATGCCCTCATCTTTTAATATAACTTACTAACGAATTGCGTGTTTATATATTCATAATAAGTTAAATATTATCATCCATCATACTAAATCTTCATCGGGCCCCCATCAACCCTAGCCAAACTTATACCAAACAAAAACACCAACAATAGTAAGGTGTTTCCATTATAATGTCCTTACTCTAAGCCCCCTGCAGCTTACAACCCTCCTCACCTGTCAACACAAATTAATCCCTGTCAGTTTTTACCGTCCCAACCTTATTTGTTCAATGGGTGTTTCTAATGCTTGGCGCGTGCCACTTATCTTTTTACTGATACTCTCCCCCTATTCTATTATGTCCCCCGCAAATTACATATTATTATATGATTAATCACTTATATTTCATCTACCATTAACTCTCAATTAAAGTTATATATATATAAATTATTTCTATAAACAAATGTATAATAATCACTATTTAATTATTAAATATTTATTCATCATTTATACAAGTTATTTAAACTAATTCAGCTATTATACTCAAAATACTACTATTAAGCTAAATATCCAAAAGTCACCGTCATATATACAAAATATATACTTTAATAAATTTACCCAAATGCATAAATTAATTGTATTAATTTTACTTTTACTTGTTCTCATACGTACACTCAATATCCGCCTTCTTCATAGAATCTGTAATCTGTCTCTAGTACAGTGTTTCCATTTGAGGGATAAAAATCCCTTTCTAGGGATATTTAGGGCCTTCGAGGGATTGAAAAGGGATTGAGGGATAACTAGGGATAATCAGCAAATTGAAGGATTTTTGAGATTTTCTAGGGATTTCAGGCCTTTGACATTATAAAATTGAAATATTGATAAAATAATACATTATGGCTGTATTTCAACAACGTTAAGGACCTTTTGGCTAATTTTCCAAGGTATTAATAACACATTGATTATACTACTTTTTCCCTAGGTTTTGCTAACAAATCGATTGTAGCATAGAAGATAAAAGATACTCTTCAAGGAGGATGTTTTATCTATGGTTGTAGGTAGTGGTATGGTAGTGACGTAGTGTTTCAAAGTCGGGACACTCACGGGGAAGAGTAACAAACAGCCAACACTGCAGGAAACAAGCGAAGTTGGAGTTGGTCGGTGGAATGGAATGGCGGATCTAGATTACTGTATTTTTTTTTTAGTAGCCCTGTGCCCTGTGTCAATGTCGAATGTTTGTTTTCGTTTTGATTTTGTTTGCCGGTGATTTCTGTGATGTCTGTGATGTTCTTTGGTTAGTAAGTAACTTGGTGTAACCTTTTCACCAAGGCATGATGGCCAGGTTTGAAAAAGACTATTGAGTTTGAAAATTGGACACTTAATATTTTTGAAACGATTGTATACCAATATTAATCTTGTATTGTACCACATAGACAGTTTTTAATCACGACTACCTTTAATTCCAGGCCGGAGGCCGCGGCCTTCGAAGTGGAAACGTTGCAAGTTGCAAGTATATTGTTGTAAAGGTGTTTGTTTGGAGAACGCTAAGCTATAATGATATTTATGTATTTTTTTAAGAATACGAAAGCTTGGTTACTGAGCTATGAAAATATTGACTCCACATTGAATGTACAGAAATAGATTTTCAATTTATATTGTTTTGGTTTTCGATTCTATATTATGTTTTATTTCCATGTTAACTTATGGGACGTCTTGCGCTAAACAATACCTACTACAGTACTTGCAACGTTGCCAATTCTACCAGGCCGCGGCCTGCCTGGAGTTAAAGATGGCCGTGGTTTTAATGCTACAAAAATGTTTTTTATATAGTACCTATTACTTTATAAATAATATGGGTTATTGAAGAATAATATCACCAGTTACCATATTTTAGGTGGCTATACATGATATCCATTGGTATTGCTGCAAAAATAATAAATTATCTAGATTTGATATAGAGGGATAATTGGAGGGATTATTAGAACACGGACTAGGGATAACTAGGGATTTTTTGACGTTGGCCCAGGGATATTTTTTTCTTGCGGATGGAAACACTGCTCTAGTAGTAACTTGGTCTTGGTACGCTGAGGTTCGTTTTTTGCGTTCCTGTGGCCTCTTTTTCTAAATTCTTTTTAATTCGGCAACCTACATTCTAAATTTGATATCATTATTAATAATTCTAAATCCAAGACCAAGTAGAGCATTTAATTTCTTTCTTCTCAGCGTTATGTCTTCCCCAGATGGGGTAAGTAGTACTTGCACATTTTGACCGTTAGTGATTGCACAATCTTCATCTTGTTTTCCCAATAACTTAATTAAACCTCACTTTTCATATAAATTAATCAAATATCTGTTATTAGTGGTTGTTATTAACTAATAAATATATAAATTAATCTGAATTTAGGCCATCAATATCTCCAAATAAGTTAGGCCTATCTTAGGCTTATTCAGAGTTGTGTTTTTATCCACTTTAATCTAGCAAATGATAAACTATGGCGTCCTAAATTAATGGTTATTACACATTTTGAGTCTTATTCCGTTAATATAACAAACCAAAATACTTTTTGCTCCCAGAAATATTAAATTATTATGCCTAATAGGTAACGCCATAATGTTGTAGGCTAATTCAGTACCATAACCTCATATGTTCAACATACATTAATAAAAATAAATCATACAATGGGTATTTAGTTATCAACATACAAACAATTTACTCTAAATAATTATTTATTCATCAATTCAACAAATGTATGCCTAGCCTATCTTATTTCTAGTCATACTCTATAGCTTATCAAAATTGCTTTTCGCTAGCCTAGGCCTACTTCAATATTTATTAATAAAACCTTATTTATTTTATCAATATGCATAATCCTACAAATGCTACAATTGTTTCCTATAAATACAAAAAATTTAGTGTTATTTTCTATAACAACTTCTAGCTACAAACTCTTAAAGTAGGCCTAGGCCTACTTAGGTTACGATCTACCCCCTCATATTTAACTCTTACTCCTTATTCACAAAAATACTCTATTACTTTTAATAGTAATATATAAATAATTGTAATTATTTAATAATTCTTTATCAATTCATGGTCTTATGGTCCATACCTACCGTAACGGGTGTTATGTGTTTCAACCAAAACGATAGGTTTATTATAGTTTTGTTTTGTTAATATAATTTCCCAATTATTTTATTTTCATTAATAATTAACCTTTAACTTTACATTTTAACTACAAAATAATGTGAAATAATTTTCTAATGACCTTAGGACCATGGAAGATCTATATGACCCTAAAGCCATTATTGACTGTAAGGTCAAATTTTTTTGTATTGACCAAATGGCCATCTAAGAACAATATGTCATTAAACCCATTATTGACTTTAAGGTCATATTATTTTAAAACGACCAAATGGTCATCTAAGAAAAATTTGTCATTAAATCCATTATTGACTGTAAGGTCAAAATATTCTTTAATGATCCTAGTTATTAAAAAAATATTACTACATAAAGCCAGATTTACCATTATTTCACTATATATTGATATTTCTTCAAATATATATTTATTTTTCATTAAACTTGTGCAATGCTCATATTATTATAATAGCATTATTATAATCAGTCACATCCATCACTCTTTTGCTATATTAGCTATCACAATCAATTGTCATTCATAATAGTTACATCCCCTAACAGAAAGTGTTATAAACGATATCATTAGGCAATATGTACCGTTCATATATTTTTAAGAAAATTTTATCTATAACTTCCTGTTTATTATTTACTCTAGTCATTTTTAATGTCTAATAATCTATTCCAGGATGTGGTTAGGCTTGACAGACAAGTTATAGATTACATCGAAGATTTCCTCCCTACTCCCTACAATACCTGGCCTCGATATATATCCAAATATTTTACCTATAACTCTCTAAATCAATTGAAACATAGAAGCCAACATGTAGTAGCTGCATTCTTACAAGTCAATGGAGTTCCCTTGCATATTGCCAAAGAGCTGTTAAGAATTTGCAAGTGTTCCCAATACAAAATAACAGAATTTGTCCGATCGTGGTATTATATACTCGCCCACCCTCATTACTTCTCCTTTGACTTAATTAGGCGTATGTATGTAGATATGTTGGGGAATCCTAGGCGATCGTATAATTCCAACAGGTCTGAAAGGACTGGGGTTATGCTTGTGGGTGAAAGCCCATCTAACCCATCTTTAAATTTTCAGGAAGACATTCAACGCCCTAATCCTAGATTAGAGGCTGAACGTAGGCCCGAACAGCATCCTTCAGCTGTCGGGTCAAATGCCGTCTCCGTGGAGCTGGCCCCATCACGTCACAATAGAAACAACTCCCCTCCACCTAATCCTTCAATAAACCATCCACCTCCCTCAGCCAACACTCCTCCTCCTGCTAGCCCACCTCCTTCAGTTAATCCCAATCCTCCAGTCAACCAACCTGGTCCTTCTAACCGTACTCCTCAAGTCAACCGACCTGGTCCTTCCAACCGCCCTCCTCCAGCCAACCGTCCTTCTCCAGCCAACCGTCCTTCTCCAGCCAAACGTCCTCGAGTCAACCGTCCTCTTCCAGTCAACCGTCCTTCTCCAGCCAACCGTCCTTCTCCAGCCAAACGTCCTCGAGTCAACCGTCCTCTTCCAGACAACCGTCCTCCTCCAGACAACCGTCCTCCTCCAGACAACCGTCCTCCTCCAGCCAATCTTGCACCTGCAGTCAACCAACCAGACACTGTTCCACGTCCTCCTGATGATGACCAACGCGCCCTACAACTCCAGCGTCGTGTCGAACAAGTTGTTGACCGCATTGTTGATAACGAACGTGAGTCCTGTTCTTGTGCTAAATTAACTAGTTCAGTAAAAATTTGTTGTAGCAAAATTAGGGGATCCAGAACCCATGTTATCATTTCATGTGACCATAACAGCATCTATAATTGGCCTACGATCCCTTATGCAATTTCTGTCACCCCGACACGTCCCTGCTCATGTGAAACTGTTAATGTAATGCCAGTTACTGTAGTATGCAAGACTCAGCTAAACTCAACTTTTCATCATATCTCCTACTGCGATTCTGATAGTGTATACCTTTATCGAGCCGATCCCATTGCTATCGTGTCTGAACCATTGGCCAAAAAATGCAAACTATCTCCCAGCCAAATACCTAACCCAAACTTAACCCAAGACCAGTCGCAGTCAAGTGTATGGGGAGATCTATTATTTGATGAGTAAGTAATATCAAACTTTAAATTATCTAAATAATTAATTTTTCTATTAAATATGCATGAATAGTATATTAATAAGAAATCACAAATATTAAAAAACTTTATTTTAAATGTTTTTTGTCTATATTAAATAAAAAATATATATTAGAAAAGATTATAGCGTACCAGAAGTAATAATTATTTAATATTAAATAAATAATTGATTATATTTATTATAATACAATTTTTTATTTCTTGTTTATTAAAACAAGCCTATTAATTAAAACAATATTTGAAATTATAAATACATACATTTTTAGGGACACCATTAAACAACTAGATGAAGCATCTAATTCCACTATTTAATCTTCAACTGGCATACATTACAGGCTCATGTGAGTAGTATTATTGTATATTAAATATATAAGATTAGTTTTAGATTTAAGCCTTTAATTATACAGTACCTCACGTTAACTGATCTCGTATTATAATTACCTCTTATTTAGACCGAGTTATGAAGAGTTTATCATAATATAGTCTTCATTATGATTCTTTAATTTATGGAATAATGTAACAGTGAGCTAATTGATTTCATCTAATCATTGCTATAATAATAATAAGCTCACTTGTAAAAAAAACCATTTATAATTATCTGAAATTAAATCCATGTACAAATTTTTTCTATAATTAAATTATTAATTTTGCCTAATCAATATAAAATTTCTTACAGTTTATTTTATTTACAGGTGAGCCTAACAATCCCAATAATATAATTAATGCCATATCATCATTTATGGATCATTCCTCTTTCCTTAATACCAGTGAGCTCAACCAGTCACGAACCCGAAGCCGCTCCATTCGGCCTCCCCGTAGGTACTGTGCAAATTTAGACACCTCTGACTCAGGTTTAAATGATTCTGAGTACAATGTCCGTCCTGAGTCCAATGCGACACGCCCTCGTAAAGGTTGTAAGACCAATTCTAAGAAGGGCAAAAAGCCCACCAAAAAGACCACCATTAAGATTCGTAGGGATTTATCTTCGGGATTGAAAGATACCGAGATGAATGTTGTAAACATCGGAGGGGTAGAGTGCGAATTCCCAGCGAAAGTTAGGCGCAGCTCTAGGTTTTCAGTTCGTTTATCATTTCGCAAAGAATGGCCGGTTCCGCAAACTATTCGTCAAGATTTTGTTAATATGTTTAGTGGTCAGTTCAAACTAGTGGAGTATGTTGTTGGTTTTGAAAGAAACATGAATAATGACAGCAAGAGCTTGTGCCACATACAGTCATATGTTCGTACAGCCACTAATGTAGGAATGGCTCCACTTCGTGAACATATATTGGAGGGTATTAAGGGAAAGATGAATGTAGGATCACTAAATATCCAATGTGTAGAGGTTAGGGAGGCCATCATGAGATATTGTAGTAAAGAGGACTATACCTGCCTATTTACTTGCAAAGTGTCCGAACTTGGTGATTACTCAAAATCATTTATTGAAATGTCTCGTATGTCATCGCTAAGTTTACTATCATCCATGGCATTTCATTCCAAACACTCCCTTAAGTACTATCTGGAGTCTTTTGATGAGCTTCGTAAAAGGTGTTTGCCTGAGTTTGGTGGCTACAAGCTGTCCCAATTGGTTGGGTCAGTGAATGTGTAAATCACTTACGGCTTTTTATTAATGATCGCAAGCGTGATGTCCGATCTAAACGCCATCTATTTATTAGTGGTGGAGCAAACATGGGCAAAACTTCATTTGCTACGGGTGTACTATCTATTGAGGATCAAAAGTCACGTCTTTTTTCACCTAGTAATAGTAACGACTTCTTCATGAGTGATCTGTGCGATTTAACCCACAAGTTGATAATATTCGATGAATTTACACCCGAGTTTCATAAGAAGAACTTTATGTTCCTTAATCCTCTGCTCAGTGGGGACAAGTGCAGTGTAGATCAGAAGTGTCGAGGCTATGCTGTTGACATTGTTTGGAAGAAACCTATCATAATCTTGTCCAACCATCCACTTAGTGATTTCAATGACACCTTTAAAACACGAGTGCATGAGGTTGTTGCAGACATTCCAATCAAAGATCTAGTAGAAGAATATGTTCAACAGTCTGGTATTGCACAATCGTTTCCTTCCTCTGTACATGATGTCAGGCCTATCAAACTTTTTGACTATAACTACCAACAATATCTCTTTGATTATGGTAGGCAAGTTAAAGAAGACGCCCGTGTTGATGCTAACAATGGCCTGTTGAGTGCTTATGACTCTGGTCTTGATGTATCATTGTCTAATCCCACATTGAATAACTCATCATTAAGCCAAAGATCTGTTGTAAATGTAGTTAATGTTGTTAATGATCAACAAGATGAAGGTATAAGTTCAGGTACATCCCAAAATCTAAACCAACCCCATCTTGAAATTCCAACCATAGTAGGCCTCTCTTCTTCCATATCCCAGCCTGAAAGGGCAAACACCTTAACTCCTGGGCCTGAGAGGGTTCGTTGTCCAAGAAAATCTAATTCACCCTATCAACTCTCAAATATACGTAGTGTAAAGTCATGCAATCAGTCTTTACGTATTACTAAACCTACTCAACCCTCTTCTACATTGTCCCAACCCATATTTTCACAAAACTTGCGATCCCCTATCCTTGTGCCTGAAAGGGCCCAACCACGTCCATCACATAGTTTACATTCTACACAAACATTGTCTACTGTGCCTCATAATGTCCATGCTTGTAGTTCACAAAACTCATCCCATGTGCCTGAAAGGGTCTATACAGGCTCACGAACCACCTCACGTGTACCCGTCATGGTCCGCTCATGTTCACGAACAGGTTCAATGGTGCCTGAAAGGGCCGTTAGCCGGACGCCAAGTAATTCGTCTACGCATCCCCAAATGGCTCAGCGTTGTCCTTCAAGCCATATGGATATAGAGTTTGATATTTCATACCGTACTAGTCAGCCATCTATAGTTAGCTACCAATATGTTTCACAGTCTGTTGGGTCATTGGTATCTAGAGTAAATAATCAAAATGAAAGTTTTAATCGCTCAGTAAGATCCATTTACCAGCCCACTGGTATGTCTCACACCCCAAATTCATTACCAAGGGAATATTTCTCTGTCTCCAATGTTCTTGAATCAAGTCAATCAGGTGTAGGTTTCTCTCCAATCTCCCCATCTCAAGAGCCAAATCCTTGGACTGATAGCTTATTGGAAGGAGTAGACCGATTGTCTGATACGTCCCTTAACTCTTCTCGTAGGAGACTATTTCAAACTCCGTCACAGGGAATACCACGAGCCGCTTCAACTCCAAGGAATAATAATATATTATTAGTTGTTCCTAGGCCTCAAGAGCAATGCATATTTACGATTCAAAGTCAACCTGTAATAGTCACACAATCACAACAACATGACTTGTATTATAACCCTCACAATTAATTCATGATCGTCGTCTGTAATGATGTTATACAAATTACAACCAAATCACATATAACCTCCAAATAATTTACAATTTAAATAGTCTTTGAAAGAAGGCGTTTTTGTACAATCTCAATATCAATTCATACATATTAATTCAATATTGGGCTTAAATATTACTAGCCTTTTGAAAGAAAGGTACAATATTTTATGCCTATGTGTCTCATAATTATTATATAACAATAACAATTATAATGAGGTTACATTGTATTACATACAGTCATAATTAGTGCCCATTGAAAGATAGGCCTAATTCTATTGTAATCCACAGGTGCCAGAGTCAACTTCCTAGCTGATTATCTTGCAACCCATCCTCTGGTGCAAGCATTTGCAGTCAGTCGTCGTACCCAATATCTGCATGGGAAATACCTGATAAATGCACCCAAAGGCTCTCGTTTGTTAGGTGGGGCGTTAGCACTGTCTGCAAGGTCTGGTGATCCGCGAGCTTGTAACTGTCGTCTCAGACAGTCCTCAGAATGCACAAGCCACTCATGCCCATTTCGAAATTTTGTGAAACGTTCCTGGAGGGACCGGTTTACCCGAGCCATGGAAGACGGTGGTAACCTTATTGGCAATCAGAATAATGTCATTGTATATCTATCTCCACCCTGACAGAATAGACTATGTCTATGGTTACCCCATACCCTCCACGTTGTTCAACAGAACATATGTATCGTTTATTGTTACTTACATCTGGCAGTATGGCCTCTGTATGAACTCATATCTAGCAAGGACCTTCCTCAGGTTGACTGGGGACAGGTATTCTGAGAGAGCCCTAGGTGCCTTAGGTTTGCCTGGGAACAGCCTTCATACTATTGAACCAATTTACAATGCCACTGGTAGACAGGGCCGGCTCAAGGCAAAATACTAACCCGGGCAAACTGCTGTTTTGGCGCCCCCCCCCCCCTCCCCGGTGATGCTCCCGGTTGAATCAAAATCAAGCAATGGGAGAAATATACCCTCCAACTGGTTTTTTGAAGCATTAAAACTAACAGTGAGTTTATAATAATTTTCAGTGATATAGTTTTCAATTTGAACATATTACTTAGTTGAATTAGTTTTAAGTAAAAAAAAAAACAATACTTTAGCAAAATAGAAAAAAAAAATTACTTATCTTTCAAAAAAAATACCAGCAAATAAATTTGCATTTACAGTAAACCTCGGATTATCCGGGCCCGAATCATCCGGATCACTGTTAATTCTGACGAAAACAATACTTTCTCCTTATACTATGTATAGGGGGGAGAAAGTAAAATTATACTTATATTTCAAATGTAGGTAAGTTTAAATGGAAATGGACACAAAAAAATGCAGTTGGATTAAAAGAGCAGTATCGTAATCAAACCATTATTTATAAATTTACCTCGATAAACTGGAATAAACATGGAGAAATTAACAATTATACTTGGTGATAAATATCTAGAGATATCAGACACATGTAAAACCATATGTTTTACTGTGTTAACCATTATCATAACAACTATTACACAATTACTGTGACTTGACATTTACATTTTCAAACTAAATTTGCCTTTGAATGGTTTGCTTGAATTTTTAACATAAAAATTAAGCCTTTTTAAATTTACGTTTAAAAAAAGAAACCTACAGGTACATAAAAAAAATAATAGACCCAAATTACGAGTGTTAATGGTTCTCTGTTTTACGGTACTCAATAAGCGTAAAAGAAGTCCCCGATCTCATGCCCGGATCGGAGACCAGGCCGCGGATGGAACGGATCGGTGTGACAATGCGCGTGCGGGTGAATAGGGGCGACAGGAGCTCCAGACTACCGCCGCCATCTTGTCAATTTCCCCTCCGTCCGCGCCGCTCTTTCAGTCGCCCCCCCCCCCCCCCAATTCCTGTACTGTACAGCGTTCCGACTGATTTTCGTACTCCCCGTTCCTAGCGGCGGTTAGCAACATCGTGCTGAGACTTTTGAGCCCAGGTCTAGCGCACCCTTAATCCTAAGTACTAAAATAAAAACACATATCATGATCTCTTTACTTACTTCAACGGATTTGTCAATAACTGGTGGTTCAGGAAGAAGCGAAGTATTCTCAGATAATATCTCCTTTTCGTTTCCATCGGGTTTTGTTACCTTATTTGTAGTATTGTCAATTTTCTCACTTGATGATGCAGTTGTCAAGAACTTTTGCAACACTTTGGATTGCTTCTCATCTTCTTTAGAACGCTCTAGTTTCCTTTTGCGGTGAAATGCTCCCGAAGGTTTTTTATTACCGGACATTTCCAATTTGTTTGTAGCACACGTAAATACTCACATGACATACACACACACTTAACACAATTAGATACGTATAATTAATTGTAATCTTAATTCAACCTGCAACGCAGCGTGCGGATTAAGAGCTGTCCATTTGACGTTTCACTCACCACTGGTTGCATGAGTCATCGGACGAGTCTATGATTCTAAAAGGGGGTGGGGCGCACGTAACGTAACCTGGCCGCTATTATGTATTGAGCTCGAGTAAGCTTGTAAATATTTAGTATTTTATATGAATGAGGTAGCCTATGCAAAACTACTAAACAACTGTTATGTTATGGACCCATATTATCAAAGTTTACGTTGCTTTAAGTTCTAAAAATGTAATGCAAGTTATTTTCATGATCTCTTATGGCGGGCGCTTTCGCCCCCGCGACAGAACAATTAATTGTGTGCAAAATATTATTTAAAAAAAAAAAAAATTTTTCGGCGTTTCGGCGCCCCCTAACCCACGGCGCCCCGGGCAGCCGCCCGGGTTGCCCGGCCCTTAAGCCGGCCCTGCTGGTAGAGAGGCCCTTCTTGTTGATCATGTCTTGCAGATTGACTTATTATACATAACCTACGAAGCAGCTTATCAACTACTACGTCAGAATCTTAACTTCAGATTTCACACCTTAAACGCCTCTGGGCATACTATCGAGTGGTTATGGAGGTTCAATCTACCTGTACTTCTCCCAATGCCGTGTCCAAACCGAAGTGATCCTCCTACAGTTGTAATCACACAATACCCTCATGAACATCAGTTACAGACCTTTCAAACCCAAGATCTAATTGAAGACTCTGATGACGAGTACATTGATTTGGACACGGAGGATGTATTCCTTGAGGAACCTGTGCGTGAACCCCCTCCGCCTGTTTTGGCACCAATTGCTGTAAGGCAACCTAGGCAACCGTTGCGTCCAAACTCATGTGAAGCCGAAAGGCTTGTGCAGCCTAACCCTGAACATGCTGAAAGGCAACAAATTCCACCTAACCCTCATCATGCTGAAAGGCAACAAATTCCACCTAACCCTCATCATGCTGAAAGGCAAAACCCCAATATATCAGGAATATCTAATCTTCCCTCCACATCATCATCAATATCCGATGGAACCCCCCCTACATGGCAAATTCCCCTATTTACGTCAATTCAATCCATTGGAGAAGCTGCCAACCTTCAACAACTATCGGAATCATCTAGGAGGCTGGTTTGTGCGTCGGCCAGCTCTCTCTCTCTACGCCTGTATAGGCATAACATGGACCCGGACTCGTTTGCTCGTGAGGTCGTCGGGTTTGCGGAGGACATCTCCCGCATATTAGCAAGGTGACTAATCAATTCAATTAAGTATAATTTTAACAATTTTTTTTATTATTTATAAGCTAATTACTTTTTAATTAAAATCATAATTAATAATTAGTTTTTATTTAACTTTTAATATCCATAAGACATATATCATAATAATGGTGGCATGGTCAAATATAGTATTAATCACCATAAGGTCATCAACATAGAATATGGTGGTTTAGTATTTTTATAACTGTATGGTCAAATAAATAAGATATGACTGCTAATTCATATTTCTGAAGTTTGTTATATAACTCTATTGTTAACTATGTCATTTTCATTTTGATGTCTAGGCCTAATTATTTTAGGGTGAATACTAAATAAAATAACTATAAAGTCAAATGTGGTGGTAAAGTCTTTTGTTTCTATAAAAGTATTATAAAGTAAATTAATACGTTTGTAAAAATATTTATGTTATAATTTAACTTCACTATGGTCAACTACTTTTATAATGTTTATAGTATTAAAGTTAATCAATATTTAACTCTTGAAATCAGTTCATTATATTTATTGGTTATATCTTATTTGATCTTCACTGACGACATATACAGCAATTTACTTCTAAATGTGGTGGTTTTAAATTAGTAGTATTAACATCAAAAAATTATTATTATATATCATTAATGTCTTTCAACTTTAAAATTTTAAATTTACCATTATAATAAATATTTATTAACACGTTCGCTGCGGGCCATCAAATGGCAGGCGTAGCCTCAGCGCGGCGCAGCCCTCAGCGTCGAACAAACTCTATTGCCTGGTGGTTGGCTCTCATATTTTGGTATGACGAATAGTTAATAACGTTGGTGATGTCCTGTTTTATAACAAGAGTCGACCTAGTTTGCTAAACACTCACAAATAGCAGCACTGCTTGGAACGTAGCCGGTCCCATCGTATTGCCAATTGGACGGAGAAAGGCGGGGCAACTAGTTGATGTTTAAGATTGCCAGACGTGGATTAATGGGGAAATTTATTACCAACCTACAACACAACTAAAAGTAAGTCACCCACTACAAGCTAACGTGGAATTGGTCTGCTTTCGACCTACGCTAGAGCAAAAACGATGATATACGAAGGGCGCTGAGCGTTTCCGATGATTACGGCAGCGTCTGAACAGTGCTCGGTCCGTATCTGATTGGATACGCCCGCAGTGATCGTGTTTATAAATACCACATTGTAATTGAATCTTTGCTGTTATCAATTAATATCTCTTGAGTATAATAATTAAGAGTTAAAAGAAAATTCCTTTTATTTCAGTGACCATCCTCGTGTACTGCAGTTCACCTCCGGAAGTTTAAGCGATCAACAATCTTCTTACGAGAGTCATAGGTAACCCTCATAAGAACTATTGAATCTCCAATATTTAATTTCAAGCTTAAATTTCAAATTCTCACTGCCCAAGATTATTTTATAAAACTAATACAATTTTTTTGGTTTATTTATATATGTTTCTTATTATTTTACCTTCATACATCTGTAAATTCCTTTGTTATTAACCAATAATACTAAATATATTAATAAACTCTTCTATTATCTAATAATATTAATAAAATATAAATTCATCCTATTTAAAATTTTTGAAATTCTGTCTCCTACATTCAATATATGTACTTTTCAATACTCTAAATTAGAATGTTATGCCCACAGGAACTTGCTGTTGTGCAGCGAATTTGGGTCGGATCTCTCATTGGTATCGTCTGAACAAGCCCTTGAAGCAAGATTGCCATCTAGTCCAGTGCCTTACCCGTCCGTTTTGCCTCCAGCTGAGTCGGCTTGTCAGTTGTCCCCACCGTTTCGGCCGATGTCTTCTTCTTCACTCCGTCATATGTCTGTGGCCCCAGCTTCCGATTCATCGGCTCCAGTAGCTCCTGTTCCAACGGTTGATCAACCCTTACCGTCTTCTTCAGCAGTAGTGTCCTGCCCATTGTCTCCTGGAGAACCGCTCCGTCCGATGGCGCCTTTATCCACCCGACCTATGAATCCAATGGCAGTGTCCCCTTCGGTGGCTACATCGTCTGACCTCCCTTCAAAGGTTCCATCAGCAGTAATCGCTTCCGAGTTGCCAGCAGCACCGTCCACTTGTGTGGCTCCAGATGCCGTGTCCCCTTCGTTGCCTCCATCGTCAGAGTTATCTGTGGTTGCCCCAGTTTCATCGGTGCCCCCTTCAACAGTAACTCCTTCTGTTGTTCCGTCCTCTGAATCTTCCCCTGAAAGGTTTGTGTTAAATGAATAAACTATTTAAATCAAGACATATGTATATGCTTTGAAATATAATTAAATTATCATTGGCATTAAAAATTTATTTATTATAATTAATTTTTATCAAATGGTTATTCCCATCTTCTATGATTTATCAATGAGAATATATAAGATTAACTTAAATCTCAAGTTACTACTGACATCAAATTAATCAAATTTAATAATACAAACTTTTTCAAATAGTTAACCAACTTAATATTTATATTAGTGATTTGGTTTTTATAACCACCCTTCTTGAAATTATTACTAATAAAGTGATTTATAAAATTTATTTATTAATTTTCATTAAATTTATCATGTCCTTAACAAACTTAATATGTTTCTGTTTATATTATTTTATAACCACCCTGACAAATGTCATCACTCAATTTACATCATACATAATAGGATGATTATTATATGTTTATATGTTGCAATATAAAATTTTAACACTGAATCCTATTTGTTACAGGGGGCTTTGTACTGGTGTGTCAACGCCCATCTCCTCGTCAACCGCTGTTCCAGATTCTCCTAGTTCTTGCCATACTACAAGTCCCCACTCATCTGAAAGGTGTGTAAACTATTAATATTTAAACTATGAAACTAAACCTTCGCCTTCACAACTTCATGTAATCTGTGTAAGAAAGGGGATTAACCCCGTACCCACGGTGCTCATCTATGCAGACACTCTGTTCACATTACACTTAGTCGACCAGTTGGTGTGAACAGAGTTGAACAGTAGCATGAGCATCGATTTACAAATTCCTTTCCCAGCTGATGTGAGCTAGGCGATGACCGGTAGGGCTGACTTCCAAGAAACACCGTTAACCTATTAGCCACACACCCTATCGGTAATCAGCCAATGAGAAGGGCTAATGATGAAGATGGAGGGGTCAAGACTCTTGGAGCTGGAGGATCTGAAGGAAAACATCGAGGAGATCACCACGGGCCACCGGAGAAAGAAGATCGGGAGTTTGGGAGTGCGTGTATCGGTGTGTGTGCTTCTGGGACAATAGACAGTATGTAGAAAGAATAAAATATCTAACTAAAACTTTGTCAAACATAAAAGTCATATAATTTGTCAGTAACTAATTCTTTTATATTTTCAATTGATTTTCTTTTCTTGTAAATTTAACGTTGTAAATTAATTTATCTTATTATTGTTGTTTTTTGCATTTTCAAAGTTTTCTTTTGCTGTTGTAACACTTTGTTACTTTTGTTGTTTTTCTAAATTTAAATTTTTGTTCATTACACGTTGAGTAACACCCTTAAGCAGTCTTATGTCTCATTAACCTTACACCTCTTGACTAAGCTAAGCGAGTGAATCATTTTAGGAAACTATACTAAAAAGTGAGGCATGGGACTCGCATGGTGGAGGCAGCCGCACGGCGAAGGCTGTCTTTGCATTTTAACTAAACAGTAACGATCCTACATTTATTTTAATAAATTATCTTGAAACAAATTATATGACTTGTGAATTATTTTAGTTTATTTATAGTCAATTATAGTCACTTAAGTTAATATCAGACTCACGAATCGTAAAATGTATAGGGTGTTAGTTTAAGATTATGAAACAAAACAATATAGGCCACTAACTCAAATAAAAACACGTATCTTAGCTAGGCCCATAACCTTAATAAAACCACCAAATGTAACAATAGCTTATGTAGGTTTGTCACATTACTAAAACTTAAAAGATAATTTATGGATTTAGATTTTGAAATTGTTAACATTGACATATATAGCTTAAACAAAACTGAGGATTTACAACTAGCTTGTCAATATAAAATACAACTCCCACCCATCCCTGAAACCGAAACCCTAGCCAATCTAAGAACAAAATTAGCTTTCACCAAAGATGTTTTCAAGACTGCATTTAGACATCCAAGTTTTGCTGAGGCATTAACAGACTTGTTCTTTAACAACAAACTAGAAGAAAAAACAAAAGAACAGTTTAGAGATTTGCTAAAATTCAAGAAAATACTTCAAGAACCAACATATGACACTGCACACACTTCTGACAACCTAACACAACCTGGACCTGAACATTCACAAAACCTTTATGAAAACAGGTCAATAATAGAACACGAACAATTGTTACATAGCTTTAATTCGTTAAACTTAAATCAAGAAACCCATCAAAATCACAACCAACCAGAAACCCCTAACACATCAACACAAATAGCATCTCACCCTAAATCATATATAACCAACAAAAACATGGCTGATGAGTCAAAAGAGAAACTTCCCCTAATAAAAGCAGGCACATACTCAGGTCTTCCTTCAGAAGATGTACATGAATTTATTCAAAAATTCAATATTGCATCAAGGTGCAACCATTGGTCCGAAAAAACTAAAATTGAACTTTTCCCCACACACTTAACGTCTACCCCGTATAAATGGTTTGCACTCTACAAACATGAAAACAATGAAACTAGTTGGGCAAACCTAGAGTCTGAATTTATTAAAGCATTCAGCCCAGTTGCATTAATTGATGACTTACAGACGGTCCTTGAAAATCGAACACAAGGAGAAAATGAATCTCCAATGCAATTCCTATACGAAATCATTCACCTTTCCCACAGAATAGATCCCAATATGAATGATGCAAAAATAATAAAATTCGTAATTCAGGGAATAAAACCGGAGATTTGTAATGACCTAGTGAGAATGGAAAACAACTCACTTAAACAGCTAAACGAAAATCTGCTAAAAATTGAATCTCAAAGAGCTATTAGGAATAAAAATCAGAGAAAATACCAAACCTCAGCTGAACGCGTTACCCTAATAAAACCTCAAACAAAGTCGGTAACATATGAAAATGACGAATTAGACAACTTAAAATTAGAACTTAGGGACATAAAAGATACATTATTAAGCCTCAAGGTCAAACCTGATGAAACAAACTACCCTAGGGACAACCCACACAAAGAAACTTATCATCGTTCAAGATCCACACAAAGAAGAGACATTTCCCCTCATCCCAGATATGACAGGTCAGCTGAAAAATATAGGCCCAGAAGCACTTCTCGAAACTCACAAAATTTATCGAGAAGCTCTTCACCTCACAATTCACATCACTCCAACAGACAACCTATCCCAAGAACCAGACTAGATTATAGATCACCACACCGATCACAAAACACTCCACTCTTTTGTCACATATGTAACATAAACAATCACGCCACAGAAAATTGTTGGTACAATGCTAGAGCTAACCGTTTTTTGCACTTTTCAAAGTTTTCTTTTGCTGTTGTAACACTTTGTTACTTTTGTTGTTTTTCTAAATTTAAATTTTTGTTCATTACACGTTGAGTAACACCCTTAAGCAGTCTTATGTCTCATTAACCTTACACCTCTTGACTAAGCTAAGCGAGTGAATCATTTTAGGAAACTATACTAAAAAGTGAGGCATGGGACTCGCATCTGTTATCTCTATACTATTTTATCTCTTAACAAAGTTATCTTATATAATATTACCTCTAGCTCTTGCCTGCTGTCATCAAATGGTTTTTGCGGCTTTCAATCCCCTCATGATACTGCTGCGAAGCTGGCCCATCTGCGTTTGCTTATAAGGTTGTATTAACTTTCAATAATGTGTTGCATGTCTAATGTTTTTTTTTTCATTTGTAGCAATTTAACCAAGCATATTATACTTCAAATTTTACTGTTTCCAGTTGATTGTAGCAGAATATAGTAATATATGAATATATTTGAGTATATGGGCCTAATAATCGTGTCAATATATCTAAGGGTGATCTAATTAAAATAATTTTCATGAACATATCATTACTTTTATATTTCAAACTCTTTTCTATTATTAGCTTTTAATATTATTGTTTCAAAATATTTCAGCACTTCGTCATACATCATTTACTGTTATTGCCCTTGCATATATCAGCATCAATACCACCTAACACTATACAGTCTCGAACAACTGTATGCCCATCTGATCTTAAGGTCTAAATACTCATATAACAAATATAAGAAATCAATATTAATTATATATCTAATTTTCAGCGCCGTCCAATCTTCCTTATCAGATGTGTCGCAACCTACACCATCGCCTGATCCAACTGCTGCATTGTCATTGTCCCCACGCCATCTATTGACAAATGAACCTATAGATGATCATCTTCAACGTTTGAATGAAATATCCCAAGCAGTAGCAGTGTAAGTCTATATTCATATATATTATTATTTATATTAACAAATTTTGAACATGATTCATTAATGATGTTTAAACATGTCTTGTTAACCTACTAACTGATTGTTAATAATATCTTTTTCAGTAATCTTCCTATAAAGGTTATTATTATATTCAGTTAATAAAGAAATAATTTTTTTTTAATGTGATGTTTGTTATATACTATAACCTTAAACTATTATCTATTTCCTGTAAGTTCATAAAATTTGATATAGCCTATATATAAAAATTTCTTTGACTCTATTTTCTTTGCAGGTTAAACAACTACTAATTTATGAAGTACTTGCGTCATATTAATTCATATTTGTTTTACCAGACGTAGCCCATATGAGACGAGGAGCCGTCAAGTCATTTCTGCCCAGCCGTGTAGGCGAGCACAGCGTCCTCGGAGTCGGACGCAGTCCATTGATCGACTTCGTGCCAAAGGGCGCAGCCACAAAAAGAGGAAGTAATGTTTTTAATGGAATGTATGATATTCAACTTTTTTAATTGTTTTTAAAATATGCAATTCTGTAATTTTACAATGAATAATGTTTTATATGATATATCTAAAGTAATTTTTATAATTTTTTTTTAATTTTATTAATATTCTAAATTATTTGTATAATTTTAATAATAAATTTTTGAAACAATTAATAGAGCACATTAAACATTAATAGGTAAAATTGTATTATGTTTTAATATACATAAAAATTTAATAATCGTGTTACGTATCTAACATCACGTTCTTAATCTGAATCTATTGCGCCCAACAAGTTGAAGTATTTCGTATAATTTTAAATTATCAAAGGATGAATTGTTAATTCCTAACTATTAATAACATAGTCTCTAAGCAACCTTTTTTTAAATTCTTAATACGTCAGTTAAAACTCACATCAAGATACAATTATCCAAATCTTTAGTTAAATTTATAAAATGTCGAGAATAATACTTACTTGCATTCATAACAAAACCATTGAGGTCAGCGAGAGGAACCGCAAATTTCATCTGAAATCCACCAACAAGAGTAGGCTATTGTCTTTGTTAAGAAGTCTTGTGCCTGAGAAAATATTATCTGCCAAATCCCAATTATCGGTAGCAGAAATGCTAATGAAGGCTATAAATGCGCCTCTCAGCACTAGAATTCAAAAGGACGCAAGGGAAGGAGTTAGACGTTTTGTATCAGAATTTATATCTTCAAACCTTGGGGAACCTCATGAAGAACTTGAAAGAATAACTTATTGTCCTGAGTGTTATAATGTAGAACATCTTAGAACACTATATGAAGAATACGGGCCTGCTGGATTCAATCTAACGGTGGCTTTAGGTTCTCCACTTCCATCTCCATATGCCCGGCCAAGCCTAACGCCTTCTCCGGTTTCTCCGCCTGCACCACCATACCCACCTATTACACCGCCTGGTCCTTCTGCCTTTGTAACACCTCCTCCTGGTCCTTCAGGCTTTGTCACACCTCCGCCTGGTCCCTCTGGACTTCAGCCTGGTTCTGGCTATGTGACACCTGTACGTCCTACGGGTTTTTCTGGCTACGGTCCATCCCTAGGTTATTCTGGAACTCCTTATTCGCCAGTAGGTTCAGGATTGCAACCATTATTGCAAACCACCCCGAGGCTTCCTGTACCGAGGTGTCGGAGACGTTCTATTGGGTCATCCGGTACCAATTCTCCCAAGGTACCCAGGTCTCTCTACCTGCGGATGAGAAAATTATCTCAGAAAATTGCTTGTCATAGGCGTCATGCCACTAGTCGCAGCGGGAATCAGTGTGTTTCACCAGGTGTTTTACGGAGCATGGAGGAGGAACTCCAAGAAATAACTAATACAATCAAACAACTATGTAAACGGTCTAGAAGGGGCAGGCCACACAGAAATAGCAATTAAACATTAATTTTACATTCCATTATTTATTTATTTTTTTTTTTAATATATAACTAGATATTCCTTTAATTTTAAAGTTATTCTGGAACTCCATTAATCTCCAGTAGGCACTCGATTGCAACATGTATTGCAAACTATTTGAGGCTTTTTGTACCGCGGTGTTGGATAATGCTTATGGAGTATCCGTGCCCAAATTTTCTCCCAAGGTACCAGTTTTTCTCATTCACATGAATGCAATATCTTTAGAATATTGTTCAAGGTTCTTATAAGTTTTAATGTACTTATCCTTAGCTTTTTGTCAAAAAGCATCTAATAATATTAATGCATATAATATAACAATATAATCAAATAAATCATACAATATAATACAAATATAATAATACTTACAAATAAATTAATATTACATACTTAACAAATATTAAATAAATCGTCTCTAGAGTCATTTGATTCTCTTTTTCATTTTCCGTTTTATATTAACCGATCCAGGTTAGTCAAATGATATGTTCCAAATATTCCCATAGTTATAAAGTTATTCTGGAACTTTTTAATCGCCAGAAGGCACTCGATTGCAACCTGTTTTGCAAACCTATCCGAGTCATCCTGTACTGAGGTGTCTGAGATGGCCAATTGTATCCACGTTCCCGAATGTTCTCCCAAGTTACCCAGATGGGTACGTATATTCTTTTCCAGGTTAATAATACCTTTAGCGTTTTTACGCCTCCCTGCTACGTATATTCTGCGTGAGTTTAATTCATATGTAATAATACAATAATAATATTTTCTATACATAATTACATTAATAACAATATCTATACATTATTTCATTAATAAGAAAGAAAGTGAAATCATACTTAATAAGAATACATAAATAATATTGCATACAAAATATATATTAATACGTTTCTAATATAAAGATAATCTCTTATCCATTTTTTTGGTGGAATGTATTGGGGTTGAACTGTTAATGGGAATATGTTCGTATCCTGTTATTCATGTGATTTCTTATCAGTTTTGGGGTCTCCCCTCGGTCCCTTGTGTTGAACTGGTCGTTGAATGCAAAGTAGTTGGCAAAGAACAGATGGTGTAGTATAGGTACGCTTTACTTATCCCATGTTGTTTTTGGAATTCCTTTCTTATTGTTATGTTATAACATTACATAATCGCAACCAAAGATTAATATAATCTGTTGGTTCATTCATTTTCAGGCGGGGCTTTGGCACTGTAAGTTAGGTTATGTGATCCGCGTGCCCGTTACTGTCGTCTTTTGCTTTCCCCGAATCTTCTTTAACAGATCTTCTCCAACGTCTGTTGTAATATTAGTCTACCTTTTCCACTAGACTTGATTTTCTTTACCACTTTCGGTGTCATATTAGCCGATCCAGGTTATTAATATGTTTATCATATATTAAGACCTCAAGGAATACATCCTCCGTGTCCAAATCAATGTACTCGTCATCAGAGTCTTCAATTAGATCTTGGGTTTGAAAGGTCTGTAACTGATGTTCATGAGGGTATTGTGTGATTACAACTGTAGGAGGATCACTTCGGTTTGGACACGGCATTGGGAGAAGTACAGGTAGATTGAACCTCGATAACCACTCGATAGTATGCCCAGAGGCGTTTAAGGTGTGAAATCTGAAGTTAAGATTCTGACGTAGTAGTTGATAAGCTGCTTCGTAGGTTATGTATAATAAGTCAATCTGCAAGACATGATCAACAAGAAGGGCCTCTCTACCAGTGGCATTGTAAATTGGTTCAATAGTATGAAGGCTGTTCCCAGGCAAACCTAAGGCACCTAGGGCTCTCTCAGAATACCTGTCCCCAGTCAACCTGAGGAAGGTCCTTGCTAGATATGAGTTCATACAGAGGCCATACTGCCAGATGTAAGTAACAATAAACGATACATATGTTCTGTTGAACAACGTGGAGGGTATGGGGTAACCATAGACATAGTCTATTCTGTCAGGGTGGAGATAGATATACAATGACATTATTCTGATTGCCAATAAGGTTACCACCGTCTTCCATGGCTCGGGTAAACCGGTCCCTCCAGGAACGTTTCACAAAATTTCGAAATGGGCATGAGTGGCTTGTGCATTCTGAGGACTGTCTGAGACGACAGTTACAAGCTCGCGGATCACCAGACCTTGCAGACAGTGCTAACGCCCCACCTAACAAACGAGAGCCTTTGGGTGCATTTATCAGGTATTTCCCATGCAGATATTGGGTACGACGACTGACTGCAAATGCTTGCACCAGAGGATGGGTTGCAAGATAATCAGCTAGGAAGTTGACTCTGGCACCTGTGGATTACAATAGAATTAGGCCTATCTTTCAATGGGCACTAATTATGACTGTATGTAATACAATGTAACCTCATTATAATTGTTATTGTTATATAATAATTATGAGACACATAGGCATAAAATATTGTACCTTTCTTTCAAAAGGCTAGTAATATTTAAGCCCAATATTGAATTAATATGTATGAATTGATATTGAGATTGTACAAAAACGCCTTCTTTCAAAGACTATTTAAATTGTAAATTATTTGGAGGTTATATGTGATTTGGTTGTAATTTGTATAACATCATTACAGACGACGATCATGAATTAATTGTGAGGGTTATAATACAAGTCATGTTGTTGTGATTGTGTGACTATTACAGGTTGACTTTGAATCGTAAATATGCATTGCTCTTGAGGCCTAGGAACAACTAATAATATATTATTATTCCTTGGAGTTGAAGCGGCTCGTGGTATTCCCTGTGACGGAGTTTGAAATAGTCTCCTACGAGAAGAGTTAAGGGACGTATCAGACAATCGGTCTACTCCTTCCAATAAGCTATCAGTCCAAGGATTTGGCTCTTGAGATGGGGAGATTGGAGAGAAACCTACACCTGATTGACTTGATTCAAGAACATTGGAGACAGAGAAATATTCCCTTGGTAATGAATTTGGGGTGTGAGACATACCAGTGGGCTGGTAAATGGATCTTACTGAGCGATTAAAACTTTCATTTTGATTATTTACTCTAGATACCAATGACCCAACAGACTGTGAAACATATTGGTAGCTAACTATAGATGGCTGACTAGTACGGTATGAAATATCAAACTCTATATCCATATGGCTTGAAGGACAACGCTGAGCCATTTGGGGATGCGTAGACGAATTACTTGGCGTCCGGCTAACGGCCCTTTCAGGCACCATTGAACCTGTTCGTGAACATGAGCGGACCATGACGGGTACACGTGAGGTGGTTCGTGAGCCTGTATAGACCCTTTCAGGCACATGGGATGAGTTTTGTGAACTACAAGCATGGACATTATGAGGCACAGTAGACAATGTTTGTGTAGAATGTAAACTATGTGATGGACGTGGTTGGGCCCTTTCAGGCACAAGGATAGGGGATCGCAAGTTTTGTGAAAATATGGGTTGGGACAATGTAGAAGAGGGTTGAGTAGGTTTAGTAATACGTAAAGACTGATTGCATGACTTTACACTACGTATATTTGAGAGTTGATAGGGTGAATTAGATTTTCTTGGACAACGAACCCTCTCAGGCCCAGGAGTTAAGGTGTTTGCCCTTTCAGGCTGGGATATGGAAGAAGAGAGGCCTACTATGGTTGGAATTTCAAGATGGGGTTGGTTTAGATTTTGGGATGTACCTGAACTTATACCTTCATCTTGTTGATCATTAACAACATTAACTACATTTACAACAGATCTTTGGCTTAATGATGAGTTATTCAATGTGGGATTAGACAATGATACATCAAGACCAGAGTCATAAGCACTCAACAGGCCATTGTTAGCATCAACACGGGCGTCTTCTTTAACTTGCCTACCAT